AGGTGTACTTAATTTTTCATTCCAGAGAAAAGTCAGAGCGAGTCGTAATTAAGTGTTATTTAGTGAAAGTACACTCGGCTGTTCGCTACGAACATTTCAAAGCTGACGCGAACGTAAGAGCACTCTCCTACGACGAAAGCTCTTTAAACTAACGTGCTAATTAATTAAAATACTATTTAAAATAAACCTTACGACATGTCGGTTAAGTTAATTATTACTGAGAAAACCTTTTCTCTGTTTATTTTAATGTAAAAATAATGCGATAACTGTTAAGGTTTTTGTATAAATTTAAATTTAAGTAAGACTACTGTCAATTATTATTTTTTGAGCTTGGAGGGAATATTGAATATTTTATTTGTTGTACTTCACTAGCACCTGCACACGTTTCTGTTATTTTCATTTGGCTGAATGTGCAAAGACTAACACACTACATACAAAAGCCACAAAACTACAAAGCACGTGCGGTTTAAAACACAATAGCGTGTAGAATTCATTGTTCTATTCTTGGAATAGCAGCATTTGAATAACGTTATAGCTGTAAAATAATTGGTAACGATAGTTAGTCATTAAAATAAAAATTATATAAAAAAGTAAAATACATCAAAATCAAAAAAAAACTCATTACAACCATATGTTGTCTACTGTCGATTCAATACAAGAACATATTCTTATCCTTCTCCGTATTGTTGAAAAACTAAAATAGCAATGAGTTTTAAACAGTTTGTTTTGCAGTTACAAAGTGACTTGTCATAGATCAGCTTTATGCGATGTACAAATATTATCATACTAATATTATAAATGCGAAAGTTTAGATAGATGGATGTTTGATAGAAGTTGTAACCTAAACGGCTGAAGGAATCTCCATGAAATTTAGCACAGATGAAGAGGATAGTTTAGGCTTTAGGTTTTTTATCCCGGATGTAGTTACAGTTCCCGTGGGATGAATTAATTTAGTTTTTTTTAATGTTTACTCGAATTCTGCAACAGTTCAATAGATCTTATTAAAATTTGGCACAGATATAGAACAAGGTCTTGTCCCGAAAAATGTCCGGTTCCTAAGGGACGCGTAGTTTTTTGGTATTTATGTACATAGTTCGTCTGTTTTCTAATATTACACGGGCGAAGTCGCGGGCAACAGCTAGTAGGGTTATAAAAATGTTAGCAAATAATATTTGATATATTTGATTTTTCCACTAACCTTTATGGCCTCGTATTGTTATGTTAACAAAATATATTAAACATGTGGCAAGAATTAACATTATAAGCGAAATACGACAACAAAAGACGAGGAGAGCCTTTATTTCTTTCCCCAACAAAAGCTTCAGTAATGTGACAAAGGATTTAAAAGAGGAAAATTCCCTGATTACTTAATAAGCTTATGAAAATGAAAATTACATTTATATTAGAAACATTACTTTTATTAGCAATCTCACTTTGTCAGTGTTTATTCATGTTCTTCTCTTGCCTTTGTGATTTCACTATTTTCATTTATACTAATTTTATAAAGAGAAAAGATTTGTAATTTTTTATGTAAAAATATACCTTAAAACTACTGAATCGGTGTCAAAAATTGTTTTGCCATTAGAAAGCTCCATTATCACTCAGTAACATAAGCTTTATTTGTTTTTGTTTTCACCGGATGAAGTAGAAATAAAAATCATGGTTTTTTTTGTTTGCTATTAGATGAAGGTTCATTACGATTCATGTACGCAATGTTTAAAATTGTTTTATATTTCAAATAACAAGCATTCCATCTATGTTAATTGGAGCTAACACTTTATTTAAAGATACGAGAATTGCGGTATCAAAGGATTAAAATTAACCATTGTTTAATGCATACGAGTACATCAGTTACTGGCGATAACAGGACTATGCAAATGACGGCGGCGGAGACAAACTGATTAAAATATACACGTAGGTGTATAACAATAAATTAATTTAGCGATACAACCGAATTAATGAATATCGATTCGGTTTCCATAACTAACACACATATTATACACACGCATAATTTTAAATACAATAAATTATATAATAAATCAACCTCTTTATATCAGATCTTTGAAGTCAAAAGCTGGATATTAACATCTGCTAGTCTCCATTGTCGTGATACTTGTATTGCAACATTATTGCTTTCCCACTCATTCAAAGAAAACGTGAAAAAAGGAGAAACTATGAAGAAATTCACTATCTGGGAATTGATGACAACGGCTGAGCGAACATATTTTAGACCGTAAACTGGTCGGTGCCTACACCGAAAGTTCCCACGTGAGTTTTAGCCGTGTTATAAATCATATATTTTAGACCGATGTACAACTTTGACGACATTAAAACACTAAAATGTTAGCTATCTATAGAAATTAATAGATATTAAAATAAGAGCGTTCTTCGCCGCTCAAAGTTTTCCTTCAGGCATCCCTGCAATTAAGCGCCTAATTAAAATAAAAAATATTCATTCCTCGAAGTAAGAAAAATAATTTTCCCTTTCCAGGTATTTTTAATTAAAAACCTTTTCACATCAGTCCACCAAAATAAAATGATACGGCGAAGCTAGATGTTTTAATCTTCCAAGAATATATTATACCGTTTGATCTAAAAACGACATGAATGATTTCGACATTTACCAAAATTCTGAGAAGTCTACACATATTATGAGTAAAGCTCTAAAAGGTCATATCTGAGTCAAAGGCTGTCTAATGATAGTGACATAATATTTTCTCTCATGGCGAAATCATGTTTTTTTGTAAAAAGGGCTAATTTAAATAACAATTTGCTTAAAAAATAAAAAATCTAAATTTTTATTAATTGACCTGAAGCAAACACTAATCTACTATCATCATGAACATCACCAGAAACAATTTTAATTATAAGGTATTATTAAAGGACAGGATTAAATAGGGGTTGATAAATTAAAGCCTACCAGGATTAACGACCTTTGTCTCCTACAATTATGATCTATTACGAGAAAGCTCAATCAACCTTTAATCAAAGTCCTGTTTATAAACAACGTTTGAATGTAAAATACGACAATTTAATTACGAAATAAAATATATCAATCATAGTAAATTTAAAAATCATACTAATATTACGAGTATAAATGCGAAAGTTTAGATAGATGGATGGATGGATATTTGTTAGACTTTGTAGCCTAAACGGTTGAACGAATTTCAATTAAATTTGGCAAAGGACATAGGATAGTCTGGAAGAACACATAAGCTACTTGCAGTTGTTTTTTTTAAATTCCGCGGCACAAGGTAGTATTATCATAATTTGTTACTAAAACTAAATATCGAGATTCAGATTCATAATAAAATTAAATTAAAAGAATAAAATACGTTTATTGCGTTATTTATACAGCCATTTGTTTATTATAAAAGGTGTACTTATTTAAATTTCGAATTAAATCGATGAGAAAGTTTATAAATATTTTCATTAAAGTGAGAAAGCAATTAGGATGCATCGTTGCACTTCAGAGGGAATAGTTTGGAAGCCAGGTCGGTCTTGGAGGTCCTAATCGATTCCTTAATAAAATAATTAAGATCCTTAATGGTTTCTTTAGCCGAGACCTCACTTAAAAGAATTTATACAGTTTACTTACTTTTATAGAAATACTTCTACTTGTAACTTTTACAAACGTCATGTGATATCTTGACAAGGTCCTGTCTGGTTCTTACAATTTCAATAACATCAAATCGTAAACGTTCATATTTATAAGAATTTAACAGTAAAGAATAGGAGAATAAACGATTTCTGGCTTGAACTACAAATATTAAAGAATGGTTGCATCAAATAAAATTACTTACAACTGTGTTTTATTTGACGAATGTAATTATTTGAAAATTTTCGACGATTTTGCTTAAAGATCAGAAGGAAACGAAATTAATTGATTACATCTTATTAGCTTTATCTTATAGTTTTTAATTGTTTTTGTTCTACGATTTTAAAAAGTAACAATATTGGAAGCATAACAATTTAAAATACTTTAATATGTCGTAGGTAATATCGCCGGCGGCAGCGAGTATACTTGCCGTCAATATTTGGGGCAGACGCAGGCGCCGAGACTGTTTGCCTTGTATACCGCGACTCATAATAGCTAAAGGGCTGTTTACATTTCACTATACAATTCCATATAACCTTGTTAACGTTCTCATGTTTCCGTGAGGGGCCGCGTGTTCAAATAGCGTAAAACAATTAGCCCCGTCTACATACTTATTTGATTAATCCATTTATGCTATGAAATACATATTGAATGGGAGATAGCCTGGGAGTCAGTCGATCGACTTTAAATTATTAACATGCCTAATGGTTTGGTACATTTTTCATTGCAGTATAAGCAACTATAACTATTTACTAAAAGAACTGTGTGAACTTTTTAAAAGAATTTTGGTTTTATTTACTCTTTTTCCTTAAACATAGCTCCTGAAATTTTAGAATCGTTTTTTAAAATGATATTGTTTTGAATAAATAGACACTTTCATTCTATTCGTTTATTTTCCTTCGGCTACCTGTTTGTACATCGTAAACTACAAATTACGTAAAAACATATACATATATAACTACACATAATCTTTACAATGATAAATATATCAAGTTACAACCATAGTTTCACAGTGATGTCTGAAATGTATTGAAATTACGTAGTGAGTGAAACATTGAGACAATACAATGTTATTCTATTGAATTTTTAGAATGATTTATAGTTACATAAAACACAGGGACATTGCATTTTATATTACAATGAGTTCACACTATAGAAACATGTTGCACATCTGTTTTGTTAAAAGAGAGAAAGACACGATTTTAAAGTCAATGTTTCTTTATTATTGATTCGCGGTTAAATTTCTAACATATTGCTTGAACATAGCACTTAAAATAAACAGATTTCTACCTTTTTCAATATATACTAGCTTTGAGAATAATTTTAGTAAAATAAAAAAGTTTATTACATTAATATCTACAACCAAAATAAAAAATTATGAGACGATATAATGCAAAAAAAAAAGAAAACGATTGTAGAATACGTATTGTCATAGAATATAAATTGGCACTTGGTTGTTTATCTACCGATGATTATGATTAGATGATACCTATACAGTTACGCTAAAAGGGTTAAGAAGGAAGACGTGATCTGCTTTGTCAAATACATTGCGCAAGAGTATTACCTACATAATATATACATCGCTTAGATTACATCACATTTTAAAAATTACCAATACAGTTTCTAAACTTCGAAATAGCGCCTAAATACATTTTGTGACCGCAACATAAAGAAAACTGTTATTAGTTAATGTAAGTAAAAAACCGAGACGTAACAAAACAGTAAAAATTAATAATTACTGCTACCTCGAGAAGTAAGAGGTCATGTCAATCATGCTAAGTACAGTAAAGGACGCGCAATTAGTCACCAAAGTAGGCACCGCGTGTTACCCTAAAAACTTTCTCACAGGGAAAAAATACTTTAGTATTATTAAAATGTGATGTATTCTGAAAGCAATTTATGTCTCCCTACATTATTGCTATATTTACATTACATAGACACTGATCGATCAGTAACTCACATAAAAAATAAATGTCTTTTTTATCTATTTCATGGATAAGTAAACAGATTATTTATTTACACTTTATACACTAATCACTTATAGTCCCGAGTGTAATTAATTTGTCTATTTGTACTTATTTCATAAAAAAATATTAACGTCCAAATATATCACAAAACACTAATTCTCTTGCAGCCGACCACGATCACCTGTAACAAAGAAATTTACAACTTTGAATCCCAAAATTATAGTATACTATATTAGCCTTTACATGAAATTAATTTAAAAAGAAACTGTCGAAACTGTTTTCAAGTATGGTCGGTTCTTGGTGTGTTAGGATAGGCTATCGCCTGCCACAAATTGGTTCCAAATAAGCTATACAAAGCAGCTAACGGAATTCACGATCGATATCCACTCTATCAAGCGGATCTTCATCCCTACTTCCGTCTACCAAAATAAATTAATAAAAGGTGGGACCTCGTATACCTCGTATACCTGTGAGTTCTTTTTTTTACTTATCAAAGTGTTGGTGAATAATATCGTACTTCAGATTAGAGCAAATAATTTTTAATTTAAAATGAGGAAAAAAATTCACTACTATACCAATATTGACTTAACTGCTTTAGAAAGGAAGCTATAAGCTGCTCCAAAATTGTATTCGTACGCTTGAATAAATTAAACATAAAATACCATGTTCTTTTATACGCCTATTTACACATGAATATCAAATATATATTTTCAGTAATTTTAGTCGTTAAACTTCTAACCTGTAATGTTACAAAATATAATTTTTATATTTCTCCACCAATTATTTATTATGAAAAGAAGCTGTTGTATACGGACAGAACGTTGCAAAATTAATTTAAAGAAGAAATTTTTCGTACAATGTATACACCATTAGAGACTCAAGTACAAGCGGTTTTAAGGCTAGTATCTTACTAGTATAAGAACGAAGGAAGTATTCAGGTAAACTAATTTAATTTTCATATGGACAATGAAAAATACTTACATTTGTGTTACGTTAAAAGGGAATCATATTCAAATGGCGTTGGGTCGGCTGCCCTCAAGTGTCACCAGAGTACACCTCCAGAAATATTTGACACCTCTATTTGGTTGTCTGTGTCCACTGGCAGAGAGCGTCGTCTTCTAAATCTTAGGCGAAAACTAAGCCAAAGAATCAACGACATCACAATCAAGCCCGTCACTGCCGCCGTACCAATGTATTGAGCGTAATTTGAACCTCTGGCATGATAAGGTGAATATTCTAGCTTGTCATTAGGATTCGCAGTATACGCTTCATTTAGAGTGATTTGAGTATTTAATTTTGTCGTTGTAAAAATATACGGAGCCGGTGGTATCTTTGATAAAATCGGAGTATTCAATCTTTTCCCAGAAAACGACTTTCGTCGCACATCCGTCGTATCACTGTAGTCGACAGACTTAGATGTTCTACTCGGTGTAGAGACTGCCACGTCGATATCCAAAAATCTTCTGTCTATTTTGAGTTGATCATTTTGATATTTATTTCCATCTAAAATTTTTACCAACTGACTATTTTTAGTGATCGAAGATCCGTTAAAGTTATCATTGAACAATGTTTGATTTACTTTCCTGGCGTCATTTAATTTATCATCTATTATAACATCGTCTTTTACATAATTATTTGTTGATAAACTTTTATTATTTTTCAAATATTCAGTAGTAGTGTTGCCTTTATTCTCATTGATATAGACATCGTGTTTAGAAATCATTCTATCTGTTTTATTATTAAGGTATCCGTAGTATCTCAACAATTTATTTATCATTTCAGTGCTGTATAAACTAACGGGCGGTAAGCTTTCATTAATGGTAAAAGTTTCTTGGAACGTACAATTGTACTTTGTTATATCAGCTTTGTGTTCAGAAGTTGAAAAATAACATGTCTCCCCGTCAGACAAACTTTTATTCCAATTCATCCAGTCGGTCAACCAAAGTTCATTGCTACAATTTATATTGTTGCCGTGTAATCTCAAAGTTTTAAGTTGTACCAAGTAGAAAAGCAAATCGTTTCTTACATCTGTAAGATTATTCATTCTTAAATCTAAATACTGCAAATGTGAAAATGCTGCTAAAGCAGCTGAATCGGCTAATAACTGTCTCGCCAAGCCCGGGCTCGATTGTAAGTGAAGCATTTGAACGCTTTCAGGCGAAGACATTGGAAATGAACCAACTTCTTGAGGCACGGAAACATTTAAATAGCAAAGTCTTAAGTCTCGCAGAGACAATGGCCCGTCGAATGTACTAGGTGAGAGCATTTGTATAGGATTATAAGAAAGATCCAACATTTCCAACGATAATAAATCATCAAATACGTGATCTTGTATGAATTGAATTTGATTGTATTGCAATAGTAACATCCGTAAATTCGGCATATTCTTAAAATCCGGTATGGAAATGTTCTTGATTGAGTTATTACTGAGCGATAAATATTTAAGTTCATCGGGCAATGACTTTGGTACTGCGGTAAGTACATTTTTGTTGATGTTTAAAAACAACAGCATTTCAAGTCTTCCTAATGAGTCGTCTTCTACTGATTCGATTTGATTTTCGGCGAAATCTAAGGACTGTAGTAAGGGATAACTGTCTAAGTCACCACACCTGATGGCTGTTATTTTATTGCCAATAAGTGAAAGAAACCGCACCGAATGCGTAAATGCTTCAGGTACTTGATATAATCCTATCCTGGACGCATCGATCTGTTGCAATCTACGACCAGTTCCGACTAATAACTGGGTATCCACCTGAGTAATTCCTAAATGCGGATTGTCTGTTAATAATAGACGAGCGAGATTCGGTAACAGCTGAAGTGCTCCCGGTGCAAGCTTTTTTAAATTATTATGAGACACGTCCAAATGTTGCAAAAGCCAATTATTGAAATAATTCTCGTGTATGAATTCTAAATTATTGCGGCTCAAATTAAGATGTTGCAAGTTTTTGAGAGGTGTAAAAACATTTGTCAGTGTAGTCAAATTATTATATGACAAATCTAAATATTCTAATTTTGTTAGCCCTATAAAACTATCTTTCAAGATATTTGAGATGCAATTATCAGTAAGAATTAATTTTCTTAGATTTGAATATTTGTTAAAAGCTCCTCTTGTTATAAGCGCTATTTTATTAAGCGATAGATCTAAATCTCGTAGAGTTTTATGCTTTAACATTATTTGAAACTTAATAATGCTGTTATTGCGTAATGAAATTGAATATGTTTCCAATAAAGGTAGATTTAAAATGAATTCGCTACAATTGCAATCGTTCTCGAAATCAACTGTTACTTCCAAATACGTCTTATTCAATAGTTTACTCATCTGATTTTGGGTTTCCGCGTCTCGATTGCAGGACATCAACATCTGATCAATGTTTTCATTGTTTTTTAAAGTGATATTGTAGGAACAATTCGAGCACGGCAGTAAAACATTATCGCATCCACATATTTCAGGACAGGAGGATGCGAGTTTCGTTATCTGCCATGATATTACAAAAATCAAAATAGTACACTCCTTCCACGAAGAAGCCATATCGGAAGTCACAAATTCAATTTACGATGGATTACTTAACCAGCACTTAAGTTGATGTAACTGATAGTTATTTGTTATTATCACTGTTGTGTTGTTGTTAATTGTACGCAAAAGACACATAGTTATTATTGTAACTTTACACCATCACAAAACACTTTAAATGTCAATGTTGTGACCGTTCTTCCGTGACACACATTCGGTAAGTTTATCGGTTGAATGGAAGTTGTTGGATTTTATGTATGAAACGTTCGTTGTCTTTACGAAGAGCCTAGTGCACTTGATGAGGGGATGTTTGTGAGATGTTGTTCACGAGTGACAGTGTTTGGTTGTGGTATCGTGGGGAGAGCGGGCGCGAACGGGCACGAGCGGGCTCGGGCGCGGCGCCGACCGGTCTGGCGGCGAGGCGCGTGTCGCGGGCGCGAGTGCCGCGGCGCCGGCGCTCTGTCGCCCCCTTCCTCCCCCAACTTCCCTCGCAGCCTCATTTTTATATAGTAAACTGACTTCCACACCGCCACTATTTATGTATGTCATACCGGGTCCTCCCTAATACGTTATTTTGACAACGTAAGTATTTGTAAATGTAATATACATTTCTACCTCGATGCTTTTTGCTCTCAAATCTTTTCATTTCAGTTGAAAACTCTGGACAGTATTCAAAATTTATATAACTTATGAACTATACATCCATATATCATGTCCAACTTACCGTTGTCGCTAAGGAGGGTTGGCACAGTATGTACTGCTCTTCTATAAATCTCTATCAGCCGTCATATCTTGTTTCGGTCTCTTCTTAAGCATATCCTCTTTCACACCATCCATCCATACTTTCTTCGATGTTCCTCTAGGTTTTTAACCATTTATACTCATTGAGAATTATTGGCATTTGATTATTCATTTTTTAATGTTTTTATTTTTTCATCTTTTGGTTTACTGGTGTAAATAAGGTAAGTATTTATGAAGTAAAACACGTTTTTTCTTCTAATATTAGTTTGCTTTGACCGACTAAGAGGCCGCTTGAAACTCAGTGAGCATTCTAGAGGGCGTAGTAAAGGGGCACGCGAATAACGGCTACAAATTGAAAAAAATAAATTATTGCTCTATACAAGCTGGCAGTTTGAAAAACGTGGAAAGAATTAAAACTCATTTTCCAGTAAACTTCATTGCAGCCGGCTACTCTTGCACAAATAATGTTTCGGGACTGTTCATACTCTAACGAGCAACTTTTACTGAGTAAATAACTTCAAGTTGCCTATTTTATTGTACTTTATATCATGATTATAATATTAATACTTAATTGTAAAAGTACATTTCAGCGCCATATCAATAATTTTACTTATATCTTACTAATATTATAAATGCGAAAGTTTAGATGGATGGATGGATGTATATATGTTAGAGTTTGTAGCCTAAACGGCTTAACGGATCTCTTATGAAATCTCGCGTAGACATAGAGGATAGTCTGGAAAAACACATAGACGACTTACTTTTGTTTTAAATAATTCCACGCGGATGAAGTCGCGGGCGAAAGCTAGTTATTTATGTATTGAAATAAAAAAATATCTTTTACTATTTAAAATATATATCTATCTGTGTTACTTTCTTATTTAACCCTTTATACTTCAGACATCTTTACTGGCATTTACATGAATTGCTCCTATGAAAGCCTTTCGAAGGGTCCTTTTATTGTGCTCCTTAATTTGGGTTATTTGAACTTTTCTTGTCCAACTTTCTTGACTGTTATCATAACACTATAGATCACAAATGTCACATAAATGTAACTTATCTCTTACTCAAACACACTAATAAACGTAATATTTACAAAAACATAACCCATTAATCCAACATCAAAGTATGTTTTAGATGATATAGGTTTAGAAGTGATGTTATTAAGAATACCGTTTTAAAATCCAGATATTAAACACTATTGGTCTTGATAGTAACCGGTATTGATAGACCTAGTAGCTTTTTAAATGGTAAAAAGAAAAATTTGTATTTAAATACCAAATGATATTATATATTTCTTTTTTTACTTCTAAACTTGGTATCCATTTGCTATTGCAGTTTCCAGTTATACATTATCACTCTCTTATACAAAAATGCGAAGTATCATAATAAAACTCTTTCATATCCATAGATATCTTTATTAAAGTAAGCGTGAACATACGGCATATAAGAAATGATTGCATTTCTTGAACGTTTCCATCCATTTTATGGAGAGCCTTTCCAGAATATATTTATTAAAGTGACCCTCAGACCGCGGACCGCAAGATAAATCATAGTCAGGAAATAGCTGGGTTTTCGCGGCGAACCGAATATAGACGAAAATTACATAATCACTAAGTTTCTAATATCAAAAATGTAACTTATGACTTGTATATTAATATGTTATTTCAATCTAACAGACATACCTATGACTATTCTATATATATTACTTGTTATATTGTGATGAAGAATTTGTCACTTTTAGAAAAAGATTCTAACATAAAACGTATATTGTGACTTATTGTTGCTCGTGACTTCGTCCACTTAAAATAAAACGTAGTAAAAAATGTAGGATGTTACGCAGTAATAACGTAGCTTTTTAATAATGAACGAATTTTAAAATCAGCCCAGTAGTTTTTAATATATTCCAATACACACACCACACCACACCAGCAGCTCACTATATGTCCCCACCGAGGGGCTCGGAGCCTCCCCCAAATTAGGGTGATTAGGCCATAGTCAACCACGCTGGCCCAGTGCGGGTTGGTCGACTTCACACATTTCTTTGAATTTCTTCGCCGATATATGCAGGTTGCATCACGATGTTTTCCTTCACCGTAAGAACGTCGGGTAAATTATGTACATATGAAAATTCAGAAAAATCGAAAATCACAATACACATACAAATCCAAAAATACAGATCTTTCTGCTTCATAATATTAGTATAGAAGTATAGATTAAGTAACAAGTACATGTTAGAAAGTAAACGTAGGAGGTTAAATCAATACTCGGTAATCAAACAAACTTAGCCAGAAACAAAGGAATCCTTCATCCAGAAGACGCTTCGTGTAGATGTGTGCGACTCTAGAGCTTTACTCAAATAATTATATAATGGAAACTAGTTAAGATATTTGCTTTGTATTAAATTAGATTAAATCAAATGGATAATAATCAATCCGACAGATTACTGGATTAATTGATGTTTGCCATCTAATGATAATCAAACGAATATTAATATTATAATGATAAAGGAGCTGATTGTTTTGTTTGAACTGGATTAACAAACAATTATAAAGTATTAAACCTTTCTAAACAAATGTAATCATTACATGGTGTTGATTTTCAACAATACATACATAAGTGTGTAAGAATGAACGAGCAGTTTGTAGAATTCAATTCCGAAGGTAGATCATATACACGGTAATCTTCCATTGTAGGCGTGCGTATGTCGGAGACAATTAAATAAGAATCGCGTGTCATCAGAAACACTATCCTTTGTTGACCACCATCTTAATTGATAACTTCACAACACACTCTAATTGAATTGCCAACATTTACAGAGATAAACAATTGATTTTATAATAACTAAGCGCATCATTCAATTGTCATCTGTCAATCGATCGTCGCTTGACATCTATATACATAATGTACATTCAGCCAGTACTCATAATTATTAGTTGCCAGTTGCTTTCATCGTTGAAAAAGTCTCAAAATTTTAGCCCCGTTAAGTTAATAAATAGACAGAGACAAAAAAATATATATACTTAATTAAAACGATGCATATTGAGATTACATTTAAACTAACACACATCTTTTCAACTCTACACGAGATAACAACAACATAAAATACAAAAGAACAAACTCGTCGTACAAAATACAATCGGGTACAAATTAAACCGTTCGCACTGGACGACGGAGAATTAAACCAACACTTAATTACATTGTACGTTGGAAAAATGGCCAACCGAATAAACGGCAGACAGACCAAAGCTTTATAGGCCATTAGTGAGGTCTAACAGTAAACTGTTCCGTGCAACTAAAATTGCGCCTTTGGGGCGAAATCGCTATCATTAGCGTAACGAGGGACCGTTGCTGACGCCGGCCGCCGCCCGACGCCGCCCGCCGCCTGCCGGCCGCTCCGAGCCAACTCTTTAGCCCGCACAGCCTAATGAACCGACAGTCGTGCCCTTGGCAGTTAGCCTGCGAACGAAACACTGACTGCATATTACCTTTGTTGCTGTTTAATGTATTACTTCAACTTTTATTTTTAAGAAATTAACGGACCTTTATTCAATTTGAGTTTAGTTATAATTTTTTAACTTGTACATACTACTATATAGATACCTCTTATCCAAGCAAACTGCTTCTTACCGTATTTATATGCACTAATTTTCTTAATGCCCAACTGTTTTAAATATAGTAATAAATATGTACAATATAAAGATATGGTTAACACCTTTTGTTTGATCGTACATTTAAATCTAATGTTTGGAAGCTATAGGATGCCATTAGTGCGAATAGTAGCTTGTTTATCTACCACTCCAAGCCATCTGTTCGTGGAACATGAAACCCTCCTCACCTGTGTCCTCGGTACAATACAAATAGCGTAATTATTCAAGCAAACCTACCAATTTAATTCACGAAATGGGAGCCACAGAACACGGCTACGGTAGCGAACTAAATCAGTTTACGCATTGTTAATCGTTCTGTCCGTTTGGCCGGCTGAATTGGGGCTATACGGCTCGCGGCGTAAAACTTTATTACGTCCCACCTCGGCCCAGCAGTAGCCCGGTTGTGGGATGCGGGATACGGAATGACGCCTATTCTCATTAACCCTGCCACCACCGCCCCACATTGTATCAACAATGATTACCTTTTTATCTTGTTGCTCTTCCCTGCCGTAATGAAGATACGTGCACAATTTATTCATTTCGCCTAATTTATTAAAATGTACGCAGCTTTGATATTAAAAACATTGTATATACGTGAGATGAAAAAAAAAATACGTCACTAAGTAATATTTTGTGAATAAAGACTGGTGAAGTCATAAGCAAATTGTATCCCATGAGATAAAAACAATCAATGGAGAGTCAGGCATATTTTATATCTGAAAATACAACAAAGCAAACCGTCTATGCCAAGTAGAATTCCATTTGTAAAACTTTATAGTAAACGGTCAAAGCAAACTGTTGTAGCCACGTCCCGATTTAACGTCAGTCGTGAGTTATGACTTTGAATTGAGACTAAAATTTGAAGCCCTCGCAGCGGTCAACGAAAGGACTTCTCCAAAGTGGACGTTTTAATCAATCAAACCAACTTACGAATGCACGCAAAGTCACGTGCGAAAATACACAATCTGTAGAAACTTCTATGCCTTATGTCGTAATGATAAGGT